TCTCCTTATTCAAGCGTATCACTCCTGCTGGGGTCATAGTTAACAATTTAAAAATAATTGAGTGTACCGAGTCTTTGGCGTTTCTGTCAGTTGGATTATTCTTTCTATTAGAGTCCAGTGGTACTCGGCACGTTATGTTAATCCATATTTAAACTCGGGTGACCTCACGTCCTGATTTGCCTGGGACAGTCCAGGTTTACACCTGTTATCCCAGCAGAATTATTAATAGCAACCTCTTCTACTCTCAGTAGTGTCCTGGTTTGGAAGGTTAAACTCTACAATCACTCTAACTTTGACTCCTAAAAATTTTCAAGAACATGCCACACTTTCCTACTAATCACTGAATTTATAGTTATTTTATAGAATTTCTGAGACCCTTCTTTCTGACCCATTTTAAGCATCCTTTGAACTTCAGAAGGCTCCTCACAGAGCCAGAAAGCCAGTGGTGAGACAGAGATAACTGCATCCACACAAAGACAACTGTTGTTCATTAATAACACATATTAATTAACATGCTTTGCTAATTAATAATATTTTAATCTTTCAGGTTGCATTTCTATTAATCAGCTATATTATTAATTCAATTAAATTAAGTATTCAAGGAATGCTCATGGTTGGCTAGCACATACCTTCATAGACGAACAGAAGTAAAAACAAGAAGACTTCTACCTTGTGTGGCATTCTCCCCTTGTCCTTGGCCGCAGCTCTACCTTATCCAAGTGGAGAGCTTCCCCAGGAGCAGGAGCTTAACTTCAGCACTAGCCTCATTAAGCACCGTATGCCATTTGGTTCTTAGGGCTTTGGCTTAGCCCCACCAAGTTAACCCACATAGTTACCTTAGAGAAGAATCTAATGTCAACTGAGGTTGGTTTAGCAAAGGAAAATGTTGGTTTTATTCTATCTATCTTTAAATGTAAGGAAAGCAGTGGAGGGAAATGGAAACTAGAATCAGAAGACCCAGGTTTTAATTCTTTCTCTGCCATCATCTCCTAGTGGGTGACCTTGAGCAATTTCCTGTCAAATAAGCACTAACATTCTCAACTTCTATGAAAATGACATGGATTCCTCTCTTAGAAAGCAACTTGGCTCCATGTTCATACCTATTCACTCAGGAAAATACTAAAATACGTTGCTATGTTATTTATAATAACAAAAAAATTGGAAACAATCTACATGGCCAAGGTTAGGGGGTTCAGTGCAACAGGTAGGGTTAAGAGCAGATTTCCAAGCCGGACTGCATGCAAATCCCAGCTCAACCACGTGTTATGTGACCTTGGGCAAGTTACTTAAGGTCTCTGTGCTTCAACTTTCTGATCCGTAAGATAATGATAATGCCTACTTCATAGAGTTAGTTTGAGACTTAAATGGATATATATACACAAACATATATAATGTTCTGGAGATCTTTTTCACAACAGTTACTGAACTGCACACTTAAAAATTGTTAAGATGGTAAAAAAATAAAGTTAAAAGTGAATGAAGCAATTGTAATAACAGGGGCAATCATATGTCATACTCTCGAGTTAGGAAAGGATGCAAATTTATACACTGTATGAGCAAAACTAGGTGGGGAAAACGCAGAGAAAAAGACTGCACTCCCCTTGCCTTTTTAGTTCTTGGCCACCACTATCCCACCTCAGCCCTCAGGGTCCTAGATGCCTTTCCTTCATTCCTCTTATCAAAGAAGAAAAAAGCCATTATTAAAAAGATAAAAATAACCCCTCAAAGTGCAAGTGTAATGAACTAATAAAGAGGAACAAAAAGGAACTAGAGAAACGCTGTTTAATCAGCGTTTATTGGGTCTACAAGCCTGACATTTATTCTGTACTGTGTATGGATTCATTAAACACACGAAGGTGTATTCAACACATTCGCCTGGTGTATTAAAAAGAAAAAAACTGTTTTATCATTTTTTTAACTAAGAAAAGGACTATTTTTCTCTGCTCTGTATTTTAAACTTTAATGAAAACTTTAAATAATAATTATTAATAATAAGTAATAACCCTTTAATAATTGAACAGCAATCAGAGCTGTGGTATTGCCATATTTTATTTGGAGGCTTTGTAGGGCCGACCTGACCTGGCTTAC